CCCCCCCCCCAAGCCAGGTGTGCTGCCTGCCTTCAGCAGGGGGCTGGCCAGTTTCAGGTGCAACTCCCTGGCACTCCCCTGCAGGCCTGGCCTCCATCATGCAGAGGCTGCTCATCAAGTACGACAACCTCTTCGAAGTCTCCTTCCCATACTCCATGGGCTGGCATGGTGAGTAGCGTGGCTGGGGGACCCCTGTGACCCTCTCATCCATGTCCCCGTCCCCTCCCCGGGGCTCATGCAGCGGCTGCACCCCTGGCAGGAGCCCCCACGGGCCCCTACCTGGAGGAGGACTGCGGGCACTGGCAGCTCCATGCCCACTACTATCCCCCGCTGCTCCGCTCCGCCACTGTCCGCAAGTTCATGGTTGGCTATGAGATGCTGGCGCAGGCGCAGCGGGACCTCACACCTGAGCAGGTGAGCATAGCTCGGGGGGGATTGTGGGGAGCCAGGGGTCCCGTGCTGGGCCCATCCCTGGGACCAGCCGCTGGCTGCCCCTTCTGCTGTGCCCCGCAGGCGGCTGAGCGCCTGAGGAGCCTCCCCGAGGTGCACTACAAGCGGAGGGCCAAAGAGACATCGTGATGGGGAGCAGTGGAGCCGGCCATTGGTTCTGCTGGGTGAGGCCAGGAAGAGGAGTCAGCTGGGGGTGGCGAGAGCTGAGGCCTGGGAACTCGTGTCACTTGTGAGCCCTCTGGTCTCCCAGCTTCTCCTGAGACTTGTTGCAGCTGGGCCTGGCTTGGGGACTGGTTTTGCCTGTTCGGGTACCCCAGTCCTAATCCTGTGGCATCCTCATGCAGCTGTTGTGGTTCCCCTGGTCTCCTTCCCCATCCCAGGCTGCATCTTCTCGCCTCTGCAGCGTGCTTGTACCAGCACGAAAGGGCTCGCCCTTTTCCCAGTCCAGTCTTATTGGTGGGACTGGGAGTGCTTCCTGCCCTGTGGTAGGGCATAGCTCCGCTGGCCAATAAAACCTGGAAGCAAAGTGCCTGTGCCCTGGTGGCTCTTGTCCCTGGGTGGGAGGTTTGAGGTCTCTGGTGGGGACCCCCAGCTGGTGGTGGGGGATAACCCTGGGGGCTGCAGGGGGTGTGATGGCAGCCCTGTGCCGCTTGTTGCTGTCCCTGTCTCTGCGTTGCTTCCTCTTCCTCCCTGGGGGGAGCTCTGAGCCTGTCTCTGAGCACCGCAGGCTCGGAGAGCAGCGGGAAGCAGGGAGGAATTGATGCTGCCCAAGGCTTAGCCAGCTCCTGGGGGAGGGCTGAGGCCTGGCAAACTTGCTGCATGGAGGCTGCTGGCCGGGGATTCCTGGCCGTGGCTCACACAGCTGCTCCTCTTCCTCCTCTCTGCCTAGGGCTGCCGTGTGGGTACTGGGGCTGCTGTGCGGGACTGCTGGGATGCAGCAAGGGGCTGGTTCATTGCTAGTCCGGGGGCTGCCAGGGGGTCCAGCTCTGCTCATGGTGCTGCTACCCCCTTTCCCCTTCCCTGTGCCCACCCATGGCGGGCAGCAGCATCCCGGTCCCTGGGCTGAGCTGAGGGACGCTGCAACCAGCTCTGTGCTTTCCCCCCCTGCAGTCCCTTCTCCCAGGGAAGCCCCAGGACTGTGCAGGGGTAGGTGCTGGACAGTGATGCCCCACAGCTGATGTGGGGGGATGCCCAGCACCATCTGCCATCACATTTTCGCACAAACAGATTTTATTTGTCACTAAAGAGCCATTCTCGTAACTCCTTAATGAGGCCCCTATCTTTGTCAAGTCTGTGAGTGGGCTCCTGGGGGCTAGAAATATCTTGCGAGGAGAGAAATGCTCCCCTCCTACCTACAAGATGACAATTTGTGGGGAGGGCTGTGCCCCCCCTGCCCCATCTGTGCATCGCTCCCCCATCCCTACCCATGGGGCTGGGGCAGGGAGAAGGGCCGGGCCAGGCCAGCATGAAGCTCAGAGCCAGGCTGGATGCAGCCCTCCTGCATGCTGGCCCCATCCTCCTCCCCGATCACCCCATCCCAGAGCCCAGAAGCCATTCCACCACCTGGCCTCAGGGCTTCCCAGGTGCCCAAGGGTTTTGGGGAGGAGGTGGTGGTTTTGGGGTGACCCTTGAACTTGGAGCCATCATTGTACACAGCATTCCTCCGCAGGGCATGGGGGGTGCCCAGCTCAGCGTCTGGCCTCTTGCAAACTGATTTCTTCCCTCCTGGGACAAGCAGTGTCTGTCTGTCTGGGCTCTGCGACCATCCCCATCACAGCCCCCATCCGTTCTTATCGCAACAAGTGCCTTCATGCCAACCTCCAAACTTCCCCGCTCTTCCCCAGGGCCCTGGAAAAGTGGCAACGAATTGGCTTAAATGTGGGAATCCAGATTGGGGTAATTAGCCGCTGAACTGGTTGTAACGAAGCTGCACACGCAGTTAGCTCTGATTTAGTAGTCCACCGGCTCCCAGCCTGGGCTGCAGTGCCTCGGCCTGGGGCCGTAAATGAAAATCGCAGTATGTCAAGCAGTATTAAACTTTACAGTCGCCGTCTTTAAAAATGAGACTCTCTCTCTAATAAATCAAAGCAAGTGGGATTGTAAATATCGAGGCAGGATCCATATTGCTTAATTAAACAGCACCTAATGAACAGCCTGTTTGTTGTGTTGTGATTTAGGATGGAGGCTGGGGAGGTGGCGTGTGCCGGGGAGCGCTGATACCCATGCTGGGATGCCCTTCCTGGCAGGTAGCAGCTGCTGGAGTTTAGCTGCTGCTAAAATAGCTCTGAGACAGCCTGAGAATTAATTTTTAATTTTTTTAAAATAAAAATTAAATTTTTCCTCCCCGAAAAACATCTGAAAAATTCAAGGTGGAAGTCAGCTGGAGGTGGAGGAGGAGTGGGGGGTGCAGCCAGGTATGAGAGCTAGACCCTGGCTATGCTGAGCCCCCACTTTCCTCAAGACAGATCCACCTCCTTTTGCCCCGATATTTTTAGCTTGCGCGAGGGGGTGTGAAAGGCTGGGAGGGAGCAATAAACCTTTCCTGTGGCACAGGGAGGCATCGGGGTGGTGTGAACGGAGCTGCTGGGGATGCAAAGGCATTGTAATTCGTAGGAACCATCGCTGCCGTGCTGTAAAGCCCCGAAGCCTTTTGATTTTGGTAGTTACAGTACAGTTGTAATCAAAAAGTGATTTATGGTGAGGAGATCAAAAACGTCTAGCTGGGTGCGGGATGGTGGAATGGAGGGGCTGCGGGGCACCCGGCCCGTTGCTCCTAACCTGGAAGCACCAAAGGCAAACTGAGGCCCATTGGGATGCCCTGTAGGGATGTGCCTTGATGCTGTTTCACGTCTGCAGGGGAGCTGTTGGAGATCATCCTGGGAAGTGTCCCTGTGATGGGGTCACCCTTGTTCTGAGCCCTTGTACCCCAGCATCAGGGGGGTCGGGCTACCAAGGGACATGGTTTCTCCAGAGCTGCTGGGGCTTTGGCTTGACTGAGACAAACCAATGTGCTTGCCCAGGCTGTACCAGTGCCTGTCTCCATCGTCGCCCCTGTCCTGCGTGTTTAGGAGACCCAGAGCATCCCTAGCTCTGACACTTGACTCCTGCGGCCAAGAGCAAGTCCTGGGATGCTGCTCCGGGATGCTGCCCTGGTGCACAGAGAGCCTTTGGTGCGAGCACTCAATGCTGGATGGTAGCTGCTGGAGGCACGTTTGTCACCTGTGGTGACACATGTCTGTGTCCTAGGCAGCTACCAAAGGCTGCAGAGCTGCAGACCTGTGCCAATCCCGAATCCCAAACCCTGCCCACCTCTATTCCACTCCTCTGTGCCTTCCAGCACAGGTGAGACAATAAATATTGAGCAAAGGAAGTTAATCTGTGACCAGAGTGTTTTAATCAGAAAAAAAAGGTATTACTGTAGGCCTGCTGGCTCCTGCCAAACTGCAGTTTTACTGTCCCTCCCGGTACTGGGTTTATGGCTGTCATTTCATTCCAGTTTTACTGTTGGTTTTGCCCTTATCGTTGAGTTTCTCATTGCCTGCTGCTGCCTGTGACTGAACGGGGCTTTTAGGAAAGTAATAAGGAAGAAATTAGTAAATTTTTAGGGAGGAAGAAGGGAAGGATGGGAGGGAGGCAGGGACAAAGAGAGGAAGGAAGGATGAAAGGAAGGAAGAAATGGAGGGAGGAAGAGAGGGAGAGAGGAAGGAAGGAGGGAAGGGAGGGAGGGAGGGAAACAGGGAAGGAGGGAAGGCTAAATCCCTCCTGTTTCTATCTAAAAGACAGCATCAGGCACTTAACACGAAAACAATTAAAAAATTTTAAGCAGATGCTAAACACCCCAGTGCCCTGCAGCAGGCCACTCCATGCTGTGGGGAGGTCTGCTATGCCAGGAGAATGAGAAACAAAACCCAAACTCATTTTAGATCTTGGCTTAGAAGGACACACAGGAGCATGGTAGCAGCCTTTGGGGCAGCAAACAGGACCCAGCTTGTCCCAGGCTGCCTGGAGCATCTCCCCAGGGTTCGGCAGCTGCCTTGACAGAGACTTTGCAAAGGGCTGAGACCAATAGGAAACAATTTTGGAGGTGACTTGCCCATGTCTCAGCCAGCTGGTGTTTTTTCCTCTGCTGATGGTCACTGAGACCTCCCTGCAAGGCATTTTCAGAGCCCTTGGGGACCATGTGTTGTGGGAGGGCTGCGGGTCCCAGGTGGACACAACGAGGTGTCTGGATGCTGCCTGCCAGCAGCAGAGAGCCATGGGCTTTGCATGGGCTTTAGGACAGCAGCCCCAGGGCTGGAATTCAATTTGTTAATCATCTGAGACATGCAGGTAATTAAATACTATCACACTGAAGCATCCATGCGGTCACTAAGCAGTGGATTCCCGCATCTCACCACAAATTTCCTGCACACCCAGGGTTGGGGTGGCACCTTGGGGCTCAGCTCTCAGCAATGGGGACCTGCCATCGCATGTGGTTTTGAGCCTCTCTCCCATCCTGGGACCCCATCCCAGGGTCAGAGGCCTCAGTTTAGAGCAAGTGGAACCCCAGGAGCATCCAGATTCTTGCTGGATTCACCCCAAACATAACGAGCCAGGGAGGGAGGGGAGCAGATGCGGATGGGAGGGCAGGGGGCTGGTCTGAGCTGGGGGCAGCCGACACGCTTGACTGCAAAAGGGGGTTGTCTACCAGTGGGGGAGATGCTGGGAGAAGGCAGGAGCCCTTGCAGTGCCCAGGATCAGTGTGACATCCAGCTGGCTCCTGGCATGGCCGAGATAGGGCACCCTGTCTGTGCCTGACCCTCCCCTGCTGCCCAAGCCAGCTGTGAGAGCTCACAAACATCTGTGCCTGTCCCTTGGCCACCGGGAAGGATGGATCCCACTTCGTCCTGATGTTCCAGAGAAGGAAGCCGTAAATTATTGCTAATTATATTCAGTGATGCTGCGGAGTCAGTAACAAAGCCCTGGGAGCAGGGAGACATTGCAACGCTGCGATGGATCTGGGACAGAAAGTCACTCCCCGGGGTTTGCCTGGGCATGAGGTGACTCCTGGGAGAGGCAGAGCCCTTGGGAGAGTGGAGGAGGTGGGGAGATTCTAATTAGATTGCTAATGAGCAAGTAATTAGTAGGTCTCCAGCCTGCCTGGTGCCCTCAGGCTCCCTTGCCCAGCTCCAAGCCAAACCACCTGCTTTCAGTGCACCCAGGGTGGTTTAAGCCCCACAGCGTATGGCCGGAGCTGGGATGAGCCAGCTGCTGCTCCCCACGCATGCTGCCATGCTCAACTGCAATAAAACATCCTCATAAATTACCCCTGCAAAACAAAACGTGGCAGATAAAAGCCAAAAGTGCATTTGCAGCCTGTTTGCTTTTGGTGTTTAATCCCTCTCTTATTTTGCTTGCAATTGTCTGTAACTCATGGCAGCTCGTCCACTCCCTCCTGGTTATGTGTTTGGGCTGGGAGGCAGGACTCCTGTGCTGCTTGTGTTGTCCCTGTGGGCAAGTTGCTGCTCTTCCTTGTGC